AAATTTTGTAGGTACGGTTGGCTCGACCGGGGTAGTACCACGCTCTCACAGATTACCAGCGTAAAATAGAAGCTTTAGGCTACTGTGCTTCGTATGGTGACTGTAGAGAACCAGTGACCCTTTTTACTAGAAACGAGACATTCCATCTTAGTGCTCAGGGGTGACAACGCATCTGCATTTTGATTCTTAATCGAGGATAAATGTAAATGTTTGTGGGCCACAGTATTCACTATCGGGTGGACTGTGTGCTCGTTTGGCAAATTTATTGTGTAAAAAAAAACTCAGATAATGTTTTACAAGTTTTCTAGTTAGATATAATAATTTTTATTTTTTAACGCAGAGCAAAGCTTGCTCAGCAGTTACCTACTATACAATATAATTGTTCTTGCTTTTGTTAGAGACTATGTTGTTTCTCTTAAAGGACTTGACCGATTGAGGACATATTTTAGATATGCTACAATCCGATAGGTGGCGCTGTTAAGCTATTTTATATTTATATAACAAAATGACTCATATTGTTTACTAATGCACAATATGTTTATATTATATTGGTATATTGCCAAAAAAATAAAATCAATTTGGACCCGATATGTTGCTGCGTTGTCGAAATACACTATAAAAAGCCCGGAGTGAAATTTCAGTGAAACTCCGGATAAAACTGAATAACGTCTACCGGACCAGCTAGTAACTTAGAAATCAGTAAGACTTACTTCGCCAAAAGTACGCGCAGCGCATACCTACCTTGAAATCAAATCCAGAAACAGGAATAAGCGAAGTCATCAACTACTTGACTCTCGCGATTGTTTGAAGCGCCGGCATCTGGGCGGTCCATGCCAATGCACACTTTTGTTCACAGTGACCACAATTAACTCAGGATTACAGGACAATTCGAAAACCAACCATTTGCTTCTTATTTGTTTTTGATGTCGGTATGTAATTTTTTTAATTAATCTATAGTATAAAAAAAACGGAGTATTAATACCAGATGCCAAGCACTAGGCGTTTATATTGATAAGGCTTCTATTTTGTTTAGGAGTCTTTCTGGGCAGGTTGGGTAGACTGAAGGTGTCTATGGACTGCAGCTGCCACACATTTTGGTTGTTGCCACACACACATTTTGGTTGGTTTGGGGGTTGCCATATTTTTTTCGAACAAATGTAGTATTTTTCCCAGAAAAGATGAAAAAGTATGGTACTTTTGAGATACGGAATTCCGGAGAAAAAGTACACATTTTTTTAAATCTTTATGTATGTATGTACTCAATACAAATATGAATGTATGTTTCCATATATGTTTGTTATTGCTCTTTGCTTTGGTCATTAATGATCTAACCACCTTACCTTCTACCTTACTTTTAAAATAATTAGATGAGTCTGTGCAATTAATTTAAATTAATATTAAAATAAATTAAAAAATTATTTCTAATTAAATTAATACATATTCTTTTCCTTTCTTTTTTACATTCATGGTGGAAAAAATTATTTCTGCAAAACGTACTTGTTCCAGACTTTCAATCACAGTTAATATAAAAAAGTGACAGTTGAATTAGGAATAAAAATATGGTATTTTTCGTACTATATTGTTTTCTATAATATATAGTACAATTGATTGGAATATACTATAACACTCTATATCATAGTAAGGGTGGCAACCCTACTTACACGTACCTTTTATATTTAAAAAGGAAAAATTCGGACCTGAATGTAGGCTACTCACTATTGATAGAAAATCTTTTCTTTTATACAAGAAAAGGTGCCAATCCAGGAGACAGTCCGTCATGCAATGACTATAAGATATAATGCAACGTTACCAGTTAAAATTCATTAAGGAATGCTCTGTTATCAGTAAAAAGGTTTGATGTTTCTCCTCTCTCCACAGTCCACACTCGAATCTGTTTTACATTGTTTTCGGCACGGGTGTGGTCCTTCTCCGGTAGGGATCCGGTCGCCCTACACTACGCCTACCAGTACGAAGCTGCCACTCGTGAACCTTTTTTCCCCAACGATTGTCGGTTATTCGAGCTATATGGCCGGCTTATTGCCACTTCAGCTTACTAATCCGTTGGGCTACGTCGGTCACTCTGGTTCTAATGCGGATATCCTCATTTCTAAGTTTATCACGCAGAGAAACCCCGAGCATAGCCCTCTCCATAGCTTGCTGAGCGACTTTGGTCGTCCTCATACGGCCAGCGGTGAAGGACCACGTCTCAGTTCCATATGTCATCACTGGCAACACGCACTGCTTGTACAATTTCATTTTCAGGTTTTGAGGTATACCTGACGAGAAGATGTAACGTAATTTCCCGAACGCTGCCCAGCCGAGTTGAATCCGTCGATTGACCTCTCGGTCGAAGTTGGACTTACCTAGTCGGACTATTTGTCCCAGGTAAACGTACTCGTCAACAACTGAGAGCTTAGTGCTCCCAACAACTACCGGCACAGGTGTGACATGGACTTTAAACATGGTCTTTGTTTTGTCCATGTTCATCTTAAGACCTATCCGTTGGGAGGCACTATTGAGGTCATTGAGCATAGCGCTTAGGTCCTCCAGCGATTCTGCCATAAGGACTATATCGTCGGCAAATCGAAGGTTAGTGATGTACTCGCCATTGGTGTTAATACCGTATCCTTTCCAGTCCAGTAGCTTGAAAACGTCTTCTAATGCAGCGGTGAAGAGTTTCGGGGATATAACGTCACCCTGTCTTACACCTCTCTGCAGTTGGATAGGTTTCGTACTCTGGTTCTGTACTCGGATAGCCATCGTAGCCCTTCTGTACAAACACTTCAGCACTTCGATATACCGACAGTCAACTTGGCACCGCTGGAGAGACTGTAGCACCGCCCAAATTTCGACGATTTGTGAAATGACGATGTGAAATGACGACGAGACAGATTATACTCTTCGGACTTCTGTACAATTTGCCGAAGGATATGTATGTAGTCTATGGTGCTAAAGCCTTTTCGGAAACCGGCTTGTTCGAGAGGCTGGAAGTCGTCAAGTCTGCGTGCGAGACGATTCGTAATGACTCTGGAAAACAGCACGGAGACGCGGTTCAGAAGGGATATCGGTCTGTAGTTCTTCAAGAGAGCATTGCCACCTTTCTTGAAGAACAAGACCACAGCACTTCTGCTCCACGCCTCGGGAGTAGTGCCAGCATGGAGGACGGAATTAAAGAGCTTCTGAAGGACTTAAGTACCGGTGCAAGCATAAAAATGACATACCTTTATTGAATTCAATTTTTTTGATTGACATGCTTTATTGAAATTTAAATTGTATTTAATAATTGATTTATTAAACTTAATTAATTCATATATATTTAAAATGCTAGGGTTCGTGTACTTGACTGCTCTTGTACCTTTAACTAAAAATAACAGTGTATTTTCGAATGGTGAAGAAAATATATAGAGCGAAAGTAAATATTAAAAGGTGTCGAGGTAGACCGAGACTAACTTTCGAAGACCATGTGAGCAAATTGCTCGAAGAGGGGAGGGTCAAGAGTACTCGGATACCAAGACGTGCATGTATGAAGAAGTTAATGAACCTGAAAGAAGCGAAAGAGGTATGTAAGGATCGTGACACTTGGCGATTTGTTCTTTCTGGCTACACCGTTAGGGATTGTGCGTGAAGATAAGTAAGTAAGTAAGTAAGTATTTTCTCATTGACCTATTGTATGATGTAATTAGTTTTCTATTGTGACTTGTTATTCAATTTAATCCACAATTTAACATTTAATTATTATCTATTTAATTTGCCATACCCAAATGGGTCTCATGATGTACCTAAACTGTATTTGTCACCTATTCTTATGTTCCTGAATTCAATAAATATATAAAAATATGAAATGAGTAGTACAGTGCTGTGATATAATACTAAAGTTCTGCATCTCGCACGGTACGGGTATCAAAAGATAGTTCAAACAAAAGATATATAGTGTCGTGATAGAACTAAGCGTGCAATTTTTAAGCAATACGTAAAAATATCTAATAGGGTGTAAAAGGCTTAGTCCTAAAAAGGGAAAGGTTCGGAAAAGACAGAACAATGAATTAACAAAAAAGCTGTTTCCGCGTTTACCGCTAAAAGGAACCCCATTGTCGTATCTCTTCAATTTCGGCATCCTCGGCGTCGACACATTAAATGATCTGCAGTTTCATGTCATTTGGAAGGGAAGGCTAAATAAAATAATAAAATTATCCTCTAAAAGCTTGGCGTGCTCAGCAGAGCGGGAAAGTATATCATGCCGGAACACAGCTTGCAAATTTATAAGGCCCAAGTTCGGCCTCATATGGAATACTGTTCTTACCTCTAGGCCGGGGCATCCCAGTGCCAGCTCCTTGACCGCATCCAGCGCATGGCGGCCAGAATTTTCGATGACCGAGTTCTTTCCGATCGGCTCGATTCACTGGCGCTGCGAAGGGATGTTGCACCCTTTGCGTTTTCTGTCGTATTTACCACGGGGAGTGCAACACATCGTGACAAAACTCACGATACCATCCACACCACCTGGGTGCCGGTCCACAACTGTGCGTTTTACTAGGAGTTTTCTTCCTCACACGACCTCTTTATGGCATCGTTTACCACCGGCGATTTTTCCGGACCGATACGACTTAGGGACCTTATAGAAAAGAGCTTACTTCTTTCTTAAAGGCAACGCACCTGCAATTCCTCAGGTGTAGCGTTGTTCATGGGCGGCAGTATTCATTTACCAGCAGGTGACCTGCATGCTTGTTTGCCCCTTTTTCTATAAAAAACAGTTACAGTCTAATACGTCCCCCAGCTGGACAAAGGCTTCCTCTCACTTCTGAGGTGGCTATGGAGCAATTAGTCCTCAGCGCTGCTTCAGCGCTTGTTGCTGGAATTCATTAATCTTCGAAATATTTTTATTCCTCATAGTTAATGCAGGATTCCTCTGGTTTCCTTTACCATTGATCGTTTTTATATACTTCTTTAATTTTCATGTTCTTCCTGGGCTGTCCGGCTTTATTCGTATTTGTTGGTTACCATCAGTGACAGATTGCAGCGTGACCATCCGCGCGCGTATTGTCCTCGGCACACGACGTATGTGCTGATGTACTGGCGTATCGGTTGACAACCGGTACGGGCCTTTGAACTGAATCATAACAGATGCCGGTGTAATCGTGGCGAAGATATAATCTTTCTTTAAGCAAACATTCTTCCTGAGTTATAGGAACGTAGATTCAAAAATAACGTGTCATCTTTTAAAAATAATAGCAACAGACAGTCATTTGTACGAAATGAAACGCAAAACATTTAGGGTCAATTACATATAAAAAAATTAACCGCAAAATTACATAGTTATAAATTTTTGTAACTTCCTATATCCTATTAATTTTTTTGCGCTAAGACTTCGTTCTTTTTATAGAATAAAGGGTGACAAACGAGCACACAGTCCACTTGATGGTAAGTCGATTCTGTGGCCAAATAAGATATCCACAATTATTCTGAATTAAGAATCAAAATGCAGATGAGTTGTCACCCCTGAGAACTCAGATGGAATGCTTCGTTTCCAGTAAAAAGGGTATCCGGTACTCTACACTCACCGTCCGAAACACAGCAGCATTAAGCTCCTAATTTACACTAGTATCCTGTGAGAGTGTGGTGATTCCCCGATCGACTCTAACTGATAGTAAGTGGATGCTGTAATCCATAGACAACATACATTTATATTATTAATAAAATTAATGCTTATGTAATAATAATAATGCGTTGGTCTAGTGGTTGTAGTAGTGCAACTGCAGATCATGAGGTCCTGGGTTCGAATCCTCGGGTCGGGCCAAAAAATTAATTATTGAGTTTTTCCGTTAAGAAATTCTCGGTAGTTGCCCGGAGTCAGGAAGTTGGCGGTGTCTCAACCCCGTGCCTCGGAAAGCACGTAAAGCCGTTGGTACTGCGCCTGATCTCTCTCCGGTCGTGTCAGTTTACCGTCCCATCGGATTACGAGAGTGAGGGAATAGAGAGTGCACCTGTGCTTGCGCATACACTTGGGCACTATAATCCTGTCCTGCGCCGATGGCTAGCCTCTGTTGAGTCAGGCCGCTGTGGCAGAAATTCGGTCGGGAGGACATTATTATTATTATTATTATTATTATTATTATTATTATTATGGGGTATCTATATAGTTTTCTCATCTGGTTGGGTTCTATAAATATATAATTATAAATGAAAAAGAAAAAATAAATATACATAAATATCAATAACATAAAATAAATATAAAAGTACATAAATAAATAAAAGCCCAATCAGATGGAGGCCCTCGGCAGGGGAGACCAAACGGCCGAGGGTTAGGGGGAAAGGGAAAGAAACCGGCGGACGATGCGGGCGGTATCGAGGAGCACCGCCTTCTGCATTTGAACCTGGAGCGGTCCGCCACGTAGTCCCAACCGCCTCAGATGACCCGAGAGGCTGACTGGGATTAGCCCGTTTGCAGAGACGACTACAGTAATAATTTCGGTCGGCAGACCACCCCACATGTCAGTCACCTCGTGAGCCAGGTCCAGATATTTTGTTTGCTTGTCTGTTTCGGCTTTCACGAGGTTCTCGTCATACGGAATGGTAATGTCGACCAAAAATATCCTTGACTGTGCCCGGTCCATCAGCACAATATCAGGCTTATTCGCAAGAATAGTCCTGTCTGTGATGATGGCCCGGTCCCAATAGAGCCTGGCGCGATCATTTTCGAGCACGGCTTCCGGCAAGTACTTGTAGTACGGCAATTTCCGGTCCACGAGACCGTATTTCAGAGCGAGCTCCTGGTGTAGAATTCTGGCTACTAGGTTGTGCCTGTGCAAGTACTCAGAGTTAGAAAGCGCCGAACAACCGGAGATAACATGCCTAAGTGACTCACCGGGATGGCGACAAGCTCGACATATGTCGACGGTGCCATCCTTTAGGATGTATCTCCGATAGTTGTTGGTCTTAATAACCTGATCCTGTATTGCACAGACAAAACCCTCGGTTTCCCCGAAGAGATCACCAAAGCGTAGCCAGTGGAGGGAGGCTACTGTGTCTACGAGAGGCTCATGTAGAACCTCCCGTGGAGCTCCTTCTCCTTCCATACGGTCTCTCGGTCGGAAATGCTCTGCACTGCCGGGTCTTGCCATTGCTCGTTGGCTAAGGATAGAGGGGTAAGTCCTTTATCACAAGAAATGACGTCCATATAGAATGGATCATCCGATCTCGCCAGGAAGTAATCACGGAGGCTGCACACTTCGCGATTATGCATGGTGAGCGCGCTCAAGAAACCACGACCACCATGCTTCCGCGACAAGTACAACCTCATTACCGACGATCTCGGATGATGCATCCTATGGGACGTCATGGTAGTGCGGACTTTTCTATCCAGGGCGTTAAGTTCAGTCTGAGTCCACCTGAGTATGCCAAAGGTATACATGAGGACAGGCATGACCCAGCCGTTATATGCGTGTGCCTTATTCACACCGGACAAAAGGCTGTTAAGCACTTTGGTCAAGCGTGCATAAAACACGTCGCAAACTGACTGTTTCATACCAGTCTCATCGATACCGATGTTTTGTGACATACCCAGGTATCGGTATGTTTCAGCCTCGGAAAGGGTCCTTAAGTTGACGGGCATAGATAAGTCTACGCCCTCAGAGTTAGCAACCCTTCCCCTTTCAACATGGAGGACCACACACTTATCCGTCCCAAGCTCCATTCCAATGGAATTGCTAAATTCACAAGTGATGTTTAGCAATTCCATAAGATGGGAGCGACTGGAGGCGAATAATTTGAGGTCATCCATATAGAAAAGGTGGGTCACTTTTGTCCCTCCTCTCCGTAGCTGAAATCCTCTCCCGGAGCCCTCCAGTAAGGTACTGAGAGGGTTCAGAGAGAGGCAGAACCAGATTGGGCTCAGACAATCGCCCTGGAAGATACCCCTTCTTATCCTTATGTGGTTCTCCGCAGCCATCATCCGCTCGCCCAGATGACAAAGGATCGTACTCCACTGCCCCATACACTGCTCAAGGAAGTCTCTAACTGTACAGTCTATCTTGTACAGCTCGAGGACTCTCTTTAGCCATGTATGGGGCACCGAGTCGAATGCCTTTCTGTAGTCTATCCAGGCGGCGGAGAAGTTCCGACGGTTGCGTTTCACCACTTTGCCAATGACCGCGTCAATGAGGAGTGGTTCCTTGGTTCCACGACCACCGCCCCGACATCCATTTTGAGCGCGCGACATCACCTGATTTGAGTCCAGGTGACAAGTGATTCTCGCGCTCAAAATGGATGTTAGTGTCTTGTATATGGTCGGTAGACACGTGATGGGGCGGTATTTGCTCGGGTCTGTGGTACCCTGGTCTTTAGGAACCAAATGAGTGATCCCAGTAGTGAAGAGGCTTGGGAGCGACTTCTGGTTGAGAGCCTCTTGAAACTGTCGGGCAAGCACAGAGTGACACACCATGAACCCCTTCAGCCAGTAGTGATGCAGCCCGTCAAGCCCCGGACTTTTCCAGTTCGGGGCCCTACGGACCGCCTCAGCTACGTCATCCGGCGTTATGATGACGGGGTCCATGGGCGTAATACCCGCACACTGACTCGCCACAACTTCCGTCCAAGGGCCCTCGCTGTGGTTTACGGGCTCTGACCACAGGCCGCGCCAGAATGCTACAGTATCGGCCTGATTCGGTGCTGGACCCGTTCCACTTACCATTGGTCGCTCCAATGATTCATAGAGCCTCTTCTGATCACTCTGGAAGAGACGATTCTGGTTGAACCGTGTCGACCTCTCGATATATCGCCGAATCCGTTTTCCCCAAGCAGCGATTCTCTGCTTCAGATCATCTATGCGCTCCGTCAGTTTTTGCGTTATATCCGGCTGGGACAAACTGACATTTGTCCCAGCAAACGCCATCCTGACGGTGCGCACAATTCTTGGCCTGTTGTTGCCTGATCTGAAGCATATCAGTCTGCCGATGAGAGCTCTAGCCTTTGCGATACGTTCCTCAATTCTTCTTCTCCATGCTGGGATAGCGCTACTATGGCCAGTAGCGCGTCCAACCGTGGAAACCTTGGCGCCTATGATACGGCAGACTGCCAGCGCGGCGCCAAAAATAATTGAGTCCGTCTTGCAAAGGTCTAGGCTGGCTTCCAAATAGGTCACCAGCATTGGGTTCAGAGCCCTCACGACAGCCCGATTCCGCTTGCTTAGGGCTATGCGGGGAAGTCGCGGTCGATTTTCGAGAGGCGTACTGCGCGTTTCCACAATCGCCTCTTCCAATGTACTCCTCATATGCTCTAATTCCAGTTCCTGGGCGACTGTTCCATCATCGTTTGAATCAACCACAACTGGGGTATTCACGGCGGCATCCGCGTTTGCGGGTTGCTCTACCATTTGTGGCGCCGCATCCTCAGCCGTAGCATTCTCATCCGACGAGGGAACAGCCTCACGTCGTAGCCGTTCGAGTTCGGCAACATCAAATATATTTGAGCGCAAGATATACCGAACTCGGTCTGCCAGGTTTTGCTCTGTGACGGTTAAAGATGGCTCCAGCTCAGCAAAAAGACGATGCATCCTAGCCCGATACGCCAAACATCCAGTTTCTCCCCCTTTCGCCCCAAAATACGCCCGCAATGCGTTGCTGTTCATCTGGGTTGTCCAACGCATGCGGCGTACTCCACCAGAGGCGGGTGCCGATTGCTGGGCCCGCGAAGACCCTGCCGACACCAAGCCAGCTGGTGGGGATGATGGATGCGAGGGGTTGCTGGGTGGTCGTGCAGCACCTCGCGCTCGGCTGGCGGTTCGCATGCTGCCGCGTCCAGCGCCAGCTCCAGACGCGCCCTGGCGACCTCCAGGCAGCGGCCCTTTGCGCGTTCTTCCGTATTCCATCATCCATAGTGGTGGGCGTCATTTAGCGGGAGACGCCCAGACCCGGCGCCGTTTCATGGTGAGGCCATGTGCACAAGCGGGCCTTTGCACCTTCAATTTTTGCCGAGGCACGGCACTAACAACTCTTGGCAAGGTGCTGACTGACTGCGCTGACGTAGCGGTTTTGTCACATAACCGTTACGTCAGCGGGCGATGGGGTCGTCACTTCCCTACGCCTTATTATATTATTTTATTATATATTATTATTATTATTATTATTATTATTAAATAGTAAAAGTTTTAGTACAACCGACAGCATTTTTTACGTGGTAAAGCCACTGCAGCTATCTTATGGTTGTAACACGAATGGGTCGGCTCGACCGGTGTAGGACCATACTATAAGATAAAATCGCAGCTCTCTAAAATAACAGCTTAATGCTGCTGTTTCGTATGGCGTGTGTAGGGGACCGGAGACTCTTTTTTTGGAAACGAGGCATTCCATCTTAGTCCTCAAGGGAGACAACGCATCTGCATTTTGATTCTTAATCGACGATAGATGTCGATGTTTACTGGTCACAGCATCCACTGACCATCAGGTGGACTGTATTTATTTTCTGTCTGTAATTTTGTTTGATGAAATTTTATGTGTATGATTAACATATATATATATATATATATATATATATATATATATATATATATATATATATATATATATGTTAATCAATAATAAATATATATACAAATGATAGTGGTTTAGATTCACAATTGTAGGTGGCACTATTTTCGAGATCCAGAAATTACCCATGCATAGCCGGGGCGGATCTATATTAAAAAAATATAAAAATAAATATGGTTTGATTATAGATTAGTAAAATTTTAGCTAATAGGTGATCACTTTTACCAACAAAACAAACAAAGTACCGTTGTACTACCCACCGTTACATGTCCACGTAGCGAGGCCCTTTGATTATATCTTTTTATGATTGGACTCCACACGCGGTGCCCCCGGGGTACACCACGCGTGCGCTTGCAAACGTCCCGGGACCGACCGGAGCTGTCAGACTGTCTTGCTGCTTTAGTGTGTATTGATTAGAAAGGCTAATATTAACGCTCGGTTACGCAATGGCTAAATCATGCTATTTTAATTGTTTCTATTTTTAAATGTACGGGACACATTGTTAGCTATGAAGCGTTGGAAGTATATTCACTGTCCCATATCATCCCGTGAGTGTCTTAAGCGGCGATAGAAAGAAATAGACCAGGAGATGGGCGGCAGCGTCTTACTAGTAACAACTTCAAAATAAAAAAACTGTGGTTGGCAATCCGCCTGCCAAGTGTGGCAACTATGGCAAACATTTCCCCCCTGTAGGGTAATCTATGGGAAAGGCCTTACAAGAAACATTGGAAGCAGTCGGTGACTGTCTCATCTGTCTAGTGGTTCCGAAACCGGATCCTGGATCAAAAATCCAAAAAACCAAAATTAAATTATTTACTGCGGTTTTCTGTCAAGAAAGATTCGGTTACAGCCCGGTTTCACTCTCATGCCTTAGAAAACATGTGAAGGAGCCCGTTTTCTGCGCCTGATTCTTCTCTAATGTTGGGAGGTTCGGTGAATAAATAATACGTCTTGTGGTCTTGACTGTAGATTTAATACTAACTGAATGTCTCTTAATCTATCGTATATATACATGAGCACTACACATACACTACATCCGGTCATGTTGGATCGGACAATGAAAATGATTCGATAGTACACCTGTGTTTGCGCCTTGTGCTCTGCACTTTAATCCTGCCCAACGCTGGTTTGTATTCGATTGTTGGTGACGGTGGTCGTAATCGAGTGGTGGCCGTTAGGAGGCCTTATATTGAACCAAGGTTAGTTTAAAGGATACATGACTTTCAGTATATATTACTTGTAATCTCTGCGCCGCCTCTGCGTGGGGTAGAATATTTAGTTCATAACTGCCTGATAAATTTCGTTGTGATTTTAAGCAGAGCAGTGCAAACTTTACTATTTAGCGGTAGAAATAGGTAAAAGTGTATGTAGTGCAGCCCGAATTTGACCGAGAGATCAGGCGTAGGAACAACGGGTTTACGTGTTCGAGGCGGCACGGTGGTGAGACACCCCAACTAACTGACTCCGGGCAGCTATTGAGGATTTCTTGACGGAAAACTCAATACTTATTTTTTTGTCCAGACCTGGGATTCGAACCCAGGATCTCATGATCACCAGTCGCTCTACTACAAACACTAGACCAACGGGGCACTCAGATAAGAGTGTAAGTAAGAGTATAATACCTACCTAGTAACCCATCTAGACGGACTATTAGCCAGAAAACCCTAAACTACACCTACCCTAACCTGACTTTCCCACCTAACTTTCCAAATCTACTACCGTTTAAAAATGATGTTCCTGTGACCATTTCTAGAATTTCTGCTTCACATTTGCAACCCAGCTTTTGTTTACTTCGACAAGAGCACGCCTATATATTATACCTTTATAGTGTGAGTTATAGTTCATAGGTTGACAGGTGACAATAAAAAATAATTATTAATCGATAAATTTTGTTTTAAATTCGATACGATTTTTTTTCATAGCCCTATTTTACACACACTTAATAATTCTCTTGGACGCCATATTATCGCCCACCAATGTATTGAATTTCTTTTTTTCGACTATTAAACAGTGATACATAACCAGATCGCTTTCTTCAAGAATATAATTATAAGTACGTGGTGGAGTCAAGTTGCAGCTAAATTATGGCAGCAGCACGTTCGGGCCAGCTCGACCGGCATAGCTTTATTTTTTGCGCCCGAAGCAAATATGGGCAACCCTCCGGAAAGAGGGGGAGGGAGGCGGTGAATGCTCATAGCATACCACGCAGCCGGCTGCGTGGTTATGTGGAGACTTTTACCCACTAAACACCGCCTTTATGGATTGGCTTACCGATCTGACGAGAGATCTCTGAGCCGTATACGGACGCGACCCTCCTTGGCAGAAAGGAGGGCGCAGCGGCATAGCATAGTGCTGGTGAGTTTTATATGCCAGGAGGCGAAAACAAGTAGCCCTTTACTGGAAAAGAAGTATTCAACCTTAGCCCTCAGCCCTCAGAGGTAACACCGCATTGCATTTTTTATAGAATAAGGGTGACAAACGAGCACACGGTCCATCTGATGATAAGTGGTTGCTGTGATCCATAGACATCTATCCTCGATTAAGAATCAAAATGCAGATGCGTTGTCACCCCTGAGGACTAAGATGCAATGCCTCGTTTCCAGTAAAAAAGGGTTTCCGGTTCTCTACACTCACCATACAAAACACAGCAGCATTGAGCTACTATTTTACGCTGGTATTTTGTGAGAGCGTGGTCTTTCCCTGGTCAAGCGGACGCATTCGTGCTACAACCGTAACGTAACTGCAACATGGTTCTACGTAAAAAAATGTTCTTAATTTAAGGGAGATGTAAAGGTGTTTAAACCACAGCATCCACTTACATCAGATGGACTGTGTGCTCGTATATTAACCTTAATTTGTATGAAAAAAATGCCGCTCCGGGCTGCACTTCATTACATATGGGAGTTATGGAGGGAAGGTAACAAACACTACTTCTCATCGCAAGCACGTATTCCGTCTGTCCGTAGCGCCAAATTTGGCAGATGTAACTCGACGTCCCGTCTCTCAATCATTACGTTTTGACAGTTCGCAGGGGGAAGGGGGTATATTTGATCGATAGCCTTGTTTTTGACAGCGGGACAAAGGACACGTTTCGTACGTCGTATGGTTGGCACTGTGTTTCTTGCTCCGAATTGACACACGCTTTGATGAACCTGTCAGGGTGTCTCTGAGCAAGGTTGGATTGTTCGTCAGTCAGATGGGAGCCGGATGGAATGCATTTGTCAATCTATTCACTGTGATCCATCATGATCGTGTTGTGGGGGTGCTTTTAGAAATGACATAAGAAAAAACGAGTCAATGCAAAGTAAGGCATTTTTAAAGATTTACTTTAGAATTTTTATTTAATGACACTGATTTCTTGATTTAACAATATATTATGTACAATGGAAGTCTAGTACATATAGAGTAAAATATCATTTTTAGGTATATTCTAAGCAGGTAGTGTAAGTAAGTCGTATACTTATTCAGTTTGAATATGCAATGCATATGCATGGTTAAATTATTCTGTTGAAATAGTGGAAGTCCGTAAAGTACGAGATGAACTGGTACTCTTCCGATTTAAGGAAGATATGCATTAATATCCATACTTGGCAGGTCGATTGGCGATAAAACACAACAACACAAATCCATAAAAATCCACTGTTGAACTGGACCTGTTCCGTTGTATGAAGGCTTTGCGTTAGTCGTATTGTGCCTTTAAGGCTGATTCCCGTCGTCAGTCTGTTTCTTACATTTTTTATTACACTTACAATTTTACATCAGGCATTAACGACACGGTTATACCGTAACCTATCGAAAGTTGTGAGACTTTTCCAGCATTTACTATGCCTTTTACGACACCCACTAAAAGAAATGGGGAGGTACTCGTTTATTGATTTCTATATTTCTTTATATAGACTATATTTTATTTTCATAGAATAATGGTAACAAACGAGCTCAAGATATCTACATCTACCCTCATTTAAGAATCAAAATGAAAATGCGTTGTCACCCCTGAGAACTCAAACTGGGAATCAATCGATACCAATAAAAGGGTCTCCGGTTCTTTACAACATACGAAACACATTACGCTGCTATTTTACGGTGATTTCCTGTAAGAGCGTGGTCCCATCTGGTGTGGTGGTTTGTGGTGGTTCTGCCAGGTATTAATTTAATACATACTCGTATATTCTCTATATAGGTAATGATTTCTTAGATTTACGCGAACATTACACATTGAAATAAAACTAGTTTTTACAGATTTTATCGCGTATATTCACTTACTTTATATTTCCAACGTTTCGAACACTTTACATCACCCATGGTCACGGGGAGATTGAAGTATTCGACGTCCCAATGTCATAGT